TTGCTATTGCTATTGCTATTGCTCTCTCCCTCCCTCATCAAATATCTTTTTCTTTCCTTCCTTCCTTCCTTCCTTCCTTCCTTCCTTCCTTCCTTCCTTCCTTCCTCCTTCCTTCCTTCCTTCCTTCCTTCCCTGATTCTCAGGTTTGCCATCAGTTTGCCATTGCCAACTCTTATATCTGACATTGGTCCCAAGCTCCACAACTCTCTTTGTGCCTAAGGCAGAATTAGAACTCAAGGTTTCTGGGTTTCTAGCCTGTTGCCTTAACCGCTAACCCAAACTGCCTCTCTTAGACGTATATATTTCATATATCTCACCCATGTCAGTAGATTCTGCACAGTTTGCATATATGAAGTGGAATGAAACGTTGTCATCCTCTCACAAATGTCGGACTCAACAAAAAAATTGTTGAGGCTCCCTGCGAAGATTTTAAAATTGGTCCAACCATCTGCCGTGTTTCCCAGAAAATATGACCTACCCCGGAAGTGAGCCCCAGCTTGATATTTTACACATGCACCCAATATAAGCCCTACCCCCTCAAAAAATAAGCCCTAGTTATGACCCTGCTGGGGTGCACAGTGTGTGGCAAGGCACACAGGTAAAAATTAAGCTAGAATGGGGATGGCGGGGGGGTGGAGCTGCCATATTTCGCAGGCCTCACACACTGCAACACCTCCTTGGTGGCCCACATCTTCTGCGGCTGCTTGCCGCCGTTTGCGCACATCAGCCCTGGCTTCCGTTTTGCTGTCAGCGGCCTTCAGGAAAGGCCTCTGCAGCTGAGAAACGGGGTCCGAATTGACGGGTGTGTTGCCCCGCAGCCTCATTTCGCTGTCAGAGGCCTTTCCTGAAGGGCCTCTGATGGCAAAATAGAGGCCGGAGGTGACGCATGCAAGCAGCGAAAAGCGGCCGTAGAAGAAGTGGGCCGGCAGCGGGCTCTGGCTCGGCGGGGCTGTCGGTGCCGCCATCATGAGGTGAGTCAGTAGAAGACACACACACCCCCCAAAAAATAAGACCTGGTACCTTTTTTGGTGGCAAAAATAAATAAATAAGGCTGAGTCTTATTTTCAGGGAAACATGGCAGGGAAGGACCAGCAGTAAACTGCTTCTTTGAGATTAAAGGGAGCTGCAGCTCCCACACGAAAAAAGTTCCTTCAAGACAGCACACTAAAGGTAGTCCTCGACTTACAACAGTTCATTTAATAACCGTCAAAAGTTACAACAGCGCTGAAAAAAAGTGACCTGCGGCCATTTTTCATACTTAAGGACCCTTGTGACAGCCCTGTAGTCCTGTGATTAAAATTCACACGCTTAGCAACTGACCCATATTTATGACAGTAGCCGTGTCCTGGGGTCACGTGATCTCCTTTTGCGACTTCCTGCTGAGTCCGATTCACTTCACGACCGTGTTGCTAACTTTCACAACTGCAGTCATTCCCTTAACAACGGTGGCAAGAAAGGTTGCAAAATGGGGCCAAACTCAATAAATGTCTCGCTCAGCAACAGAAATTTTGGGCTCAACTGTGGTCGTAGGTCGAGACCACCTGTAGTCTTCAGTTAATGACAATAATCGAATCGGGAATTCTGTTGCTAAATAACACCACTGAACAGCGCAGTGGAAGTTCTGGTTGCTGTCGTTAGGGGAGTCCTGTTGCTGTGTGTAGTGTCGCCACTGGAGACTTCCCACCAGCTTCCCCATTGACTTTGCTTGGGGGAAGCCAGCAATGAAAGTCTCCAATGGCAGTCACGTGATCGTGGGATTCGTGTCACTGTCATAATTGCAAGCTGGTTGCTAAGCGCCCAAATCGCATTCACGTAACCCAGGAACACTGTGCCAGCTGCAACTTCCTGATTCGCTGCAGTTTATAATTTGGGAGAGTTGCTGAACAAATGGCCATTAACCGAGGACTAGCTGCATTCCTGTCAGAGGAAGGGATTTTACTGTGCATCGTTCTCCTTTCTCCACTCCTGAATCAGGACATCCTATCGTGAATATTTATCCTGAATATTGCAGCTTTTGGTTTTCCTCTCAGGCCCTTACTCAGAGTGTAGCTATTCTCTCTTCATCATTCTTCAGCTATATCACACTGAGGTAATAAACTGTCATAAGACAGCTGCCCTTGATTTATGGCATTGTACAGGTAGTCCTCAACTTACAGCAGTTCATTTAATGACCAAACCTACAACACCACTGAAAAAAGTTGACTTATGACCATTTTACACACTTACAACCATTGTAGCATCCCCGTGGTCACATGATCCAAATTCAGATACTGGCAACTGATTCATATTTATGACGGTTGCAGTGTCCCGGGGTGATCAGGTGATCTCCTTTTGCGACCTTCCGACCAGCAAAATCAACGGGGAAACCTTTGTTTTGCTTAATGACCGCATTACTAATTTACCAACTGCAGTGATTCACTTAACAACTGTGGAAAGAAAAGTTGTAAAATGGAGCAGAACTTGCTTCGCTTAGCAACAGAAATTTTGGGCTCAATTGTGGTTGTAAGTTGAGGCCTACCTGTAATTCTGTTTCCTAAAAAAATATCTTTTGGGGCATTTCGAAAACATACTGTGAACAACAATAAAACTACAGGTAGCCAGCCCTCAACTTACAACCATTTGATTAGTGATTGTTTGAAGTTACAACGGCACTGGAAAAAATTGCCTTACAACCAGTCCTCCCACTTATGACCATCGCAGCATCTCTACGGTAACTTGATCAAAATTCAAAGCACTTGGCAACTAGCATGTATTTACAATGGCTGCAATGTCCCAGAGTCATGACCACATGACTTGCTTAATGACTGCAGCGATTTGCTTAACAACAGTGGCAAAAGATTGAAAAGCTCTTTTATCAACCACTCTGATTAGCAACAGAAATTCTGGTCGCAATTGTGGTCATAAGCTGAGGACTTCTTGTATAACATTGTTGACAAAAGGTTCATACTAGGAAGCTCTCTGGCAGCGTAAGAAATAAAATACGAAGCTCAGCATTTAGGGCTGAAGGGAAGAGAGTCGGCCTTGAGTTTTATTGTGTAAAAAGAAACTAAGGAACAAAATCTCAGGGTTTCAGCTTCCCCCTTGCTAGAGGTTCGTTTTGTTTGCTTGCAACTTTTTTTTAAATCCTTCAGGGAAAGAGAAGAATTTGAAAAAGAAATCCAAGAGGAGAAGCAAAATTTTGCCAAGAAACCGAGAA